TGTGAGTCCTGGAGACAAGGCTTGGTAGCAAGAACTTTTACCCACTAAGCCATCTCACGTGCATGTTAATTTAAAATTTAGAATTTTCTTCAGGAAACTGAGACAGAAGAATTACTATAATGTTAAGGTCAGGTCAGCTTGGTCTACACAGTAAATTCTGGGCTAGCAAGGCTACATCGTGAGATCCAGTTTCAAAACGCCCACACCAGGGCTAGCAGCATGGCTCTGTGGGTAAAGGCACCTGCTGCACTGGCCTAAGGCCCTGAGTTCAACCTCCAGGTTTCATGATAGGAGAGAATAGATACCTAGAGGCTGCCCTCTGCCCTTCATGGGAATGTGGTGGAACACATATATGCCCGGTATGCACACACGTGTGTGCACACACACACATACCATAAAAGGTCTTGATAGCTTACAAACGGGGCACTAGACGAGAGGCTGCTCCACCACCCGCATCTACTACAGACCTAATCACGCTGAAAGCAAATGAGCCGAGGTGAGTGAGAGGCCAAACTAATTAGCAAAGCACAAAGTTTCAAAAAAGATGATGTTGTAGCCTTCTCCGTGGTTTGTCAGTAGTGAGAACTCGGCCTCCACTGAGACAGGTGCTGCCCAAACTAAAACTAAAAACCAGCTTATCCGAGCAGTCTCCCACAGGGCTTACGGAGTAAAGAGCTAATCAATATTGTCTTGGTTTCATTTCGGAAGAAGAGGCAGTTGCAACAAATTCAATTACACACATTCCTGGCACTGGGTGGAAAGGGGTCTCTGGCACAAAATGCCACTGTGCCTTACCAACAACTGGCTACTTAAAGGTTAGAAAAATGAGGGAGTACAAAGGTTTCCATGCCAACCAGCAAACTGTAAATGCTCTGGGTAGCAACCGCTATGGAGATGATTTATCAATCACGTCCACGATGTCCTTTTTGGCCATCTTGGTGTTATAAGGCGGAGCAATCTCCAGAGACCCCCTTCAGGCCTCAAGTGGCAGCAATAAAAAGATGATGGAACAGTAAGCACAAGACATAGGAAGACACGAGCTTCCGGCAGGACCACATGCAGGTAGGGATGGGGGGAGACAGGTCCAAGTACTCCAAGGATTGCTGCCTCTCTCCTGTACGCAGCAGCTTACACAGCTGTAGGAGACGAAGACATCCTAACTACGGAGGGAAGGAAGAAGGTGGACAAAGGCTCACGTCGTGTGCCCCACCGCCACCGCCGCGAAGATTCGGTCATGGAAAAACAATACACAAATCACTTAATTTGAAAATGCAGCCTTTCAAATCAGCACAGCTTCTCTCTGTTTCTATGGAAACGGTGCCTCTTTATTCGTTACCTATTCCTCACCTCCAGTTAATTTTATTTGCCCTACAAAAGGAGGAGGAAGTGAACTCAGAATTATTGATCCAAGAGGTGTTTATAATGCTTTATCTAAGGTTTTAAGCTAATCTGGAGAGAAGTCATTTTAACAGGGGGTTCATGACAGTCCAGACGGCCGTGGGCTCCCAGTAGTTTATGGCCTTTTCTCAGAAACTGGACATTTTGTTCTATGTTCAGATTTTAATCTTAAGGGGAACAACACATTTACTGTTATTTATTCCACTTCTTTTAATCCTCTTGGAGAAAAGCATTTTCCAATTAGCCCCTAAAATGCCCAAATTGTGAATTCTGTATGATACCCAATCCTAGAACAATTGCAGACCACAAGAATTCCTGCCTGCATTTTTCTGCGTGGTGTTGCACAGCTCAGTCAGATAGCCACTGTGTGTGTGTGTGTGTGTGTGTGTGTGTGTGTGTGTGTGTGTGTGTGTGCATACACGTCCACATAGAAGTGAAACACACTGTGATAGTCTCAACAAAGATGATCAAAAAGAGGGAAACACTGTCCTTGAGTTAAAGACTCCACAAGACCTAATGACTAATTATGGCGAGACAGAACTTGCAGACCACAGCCAAATTATCTTGGCCTATTCAGTGTCCCTTTGAAAACCAGCCATTGTCATTCCCGGTGTCTTACCTAACTTCCTTGAGACTATCAAAGATTCACAAGGCAAACTTAACCAGCCACTAGCTCCTGTAAGTCCAAAGGCCAAGAAACTCATCAAATATTTTCTAAAACTCTGTCTGAGCTGGCCCGCCTTGTACCTGCGTACCTCTGGTCCCCACGGTGGATAAACTTTGGCTGAGGACGTTCTTTGCTCTGTAATTATTAAAGTCTCACATAACCACTTCCACAGGGAAACATGGTATCTGGGGAAGCCCGAGTCTGTGTTCCCAACGTGTGATCACTCATGGTTGGCTCCAAAATAACCTGTTATTCCCTGTGAGGTGAGCGCTGCATTTTTGCATTGACACGTTCGGCCATTTTTACAAATTAGTAATAACTTAATGAGGCACTCTCCCTGGGGAGACTGACATTGAAAGCTGGGCTACTCTGTCAGAGCTGAAAGAAGGAAATAAAGACAAAAAGAAGTCTCCAGGAACCCTGGAGGAAAGGCCGTTATCTGTCTGTCTGCACGCAACATCAACAATCAACCAAGGAAGGTGTAGAGACAGAGGGAAGAACCAGTCCTGGCCAGCTTCAAAAGCTTCAAGGCCTAGCCCAGCTCCCTCTGAGTAAACCCTCCTAAAGCAAAACTGCAAAAGCAACTCCATCTTGGGCCTTTACATCTGTCACCATAGCAACTTAGCTATGCTTAGCTTAATTCCCAAATCCTCCTGATGCGAATCAGCCAAACTTCTGTTAAAAAACACAGGTTCCAAAGACAGGTGTTCATTTTGCTGTTTCGTAGGTTTGTTTGAGATGAGGGGGGAGGGGGTCTCATCTGTGAAATTAGCCCAGGGTGACCTCAAACTACGCAACTGCAGAGGACCTTGAATCTGCAGTTCCCTCGCTTCCTTCTCCCTACTGAGCACTAGGGTTGCAGCCTTGTACCACTATAACTGGTTTGTGCAGTTCCGGGCCTTGAACCTAGGGGGCGCTCTATAAACTGAGTCACACCCCCAGCTCTTAGACACAGATCTGCACAGTCCTAGAGTTAAACACATATGTATCCGGTCCCCTGACTTGTGGCCCATGGTTTGTCTGAGTTAAGGGCTGAGGAGACGGCTCAGTGGGTAAGTGTCAACATAAGAACCCGAGTTCAGAACCCCAGCACCCATATACAGCCCTGAGCATGGCAGCAAGTGTCTGCAATCCCAGGCCTGGGAGGAGGGAGTTCCACCATCAGCCAACCTTCCTAATTGGTGAGTTCCAGGTTCAGTGAGAGATCATGTATCTAAAAGTCAGTTGGAGAGACACAGAGCTGGGCATACGATGCTACAGGAAATGCAGAGACAGTAATCTAATTTTACAAAACGATATGCGGTCTGTGTATCTGGTCTTGAGGCTGGGCGAAATTTACCATGAGGGGAAATGTCAGCGAATTAAGATATATCGATTGTACCCTTGCTTGAATCATTAGGGACGGACCATCCGGCCAGCCATCAGGAACAAGCGAGAAGGGTACGTTCCTTAGGGCAGGAGCTAGCAGGAGCTAGTTTTTCTCCCCCAAAAGTGGTGCTTCTAAGGTAGCCTGGGGTTTATAAATACAATGTGGCTTCAGTTTGAAAAAAAAAAATTTTGTGACTGGAGAAATAATTAAAGCAAACATCTTTTTAAGATACACACATCCTTCATTCCGCATAACTCTCTGACATGTAATGGATGCGGCTGGGAGGGCAGGAGCCTGGGCTCACCGAGTGTTACTCTAGGCCAAAAGCAAGGGTGCAAGTCAGGTCGTGGGCAGGGGAGCAAGAGAAAGGGAGGGCAGTGCGTGTGGGTGTCAGGTCACATCTGCACAGCTGTGCAGCCAAGGGGGCAGCACTCCTGAGCGCAGAGAGCACAGCTGGGAACCTCTTTCCTAGCTAAAATCCTGGCGGTTGTTGACACTACAAATTCCTAAATCCTAGATGGAATAAGGCGCCTTGCCATTCTTCTCTAGAGAGCTGCAGTGAGACCCACACTGATGGATTTGCTGAGATGCCAGGATTACCAAGCCTTGAAAGGCTCCTCAGGTTCGTGACCACCGCACTGCAGGCCACCACGGAAGCGTGAGAACCCGGCTCGGGCCATGTGTGTAAACAGGGAGCAGTTGGGTATACGTTGGGCCCCCCGCAGACAGCAATGGGGAAGCTCTCGCACAAGAAACGGCAGAGCCAGGCACTTTCCCTTCCTCTCCCCTCCTCAGTGCCGATGTTTCTGACCCACCATTCTGGAGGGCAGAGGGCAAGTCGCACCTGCGCGGGTTCGTACCTTCTACACGCAACACTTCCGTGTGGCCAACCCCACAGTCTGCGCTACCAGAGAGAAATACTACAATCCAGGCATTCGCCCTTGTTCAGACCTCAGCAGAACTGAAAGCTAATCTTTTAAAAACACTCGCCTCCCCATTCAAGGGGCCTCTCCAAAGCAAAGCTCTCAGTTTGCTGACCGTGCAAAGCTGGCTTCCTCCTGCTGGCTGGCGGCCGGCCTTCCGGGCTCACCCTCTGTGGCTCTTCTCGGCCCCGACTGCTCTCCAGGCTTTTCTTACGTTTTGCAAGAGGTCTTTCTTTCCCTAGTTTTCCCATGCTTCTCACTTTCACAGGAAAACACCAATCAGACAGCAGAGAAATTATGCTCCGTATGATCTGGGGGTGTGCAACCCCGCTTGACAGTTCGCTTTGAAATGTTTTAAGGTTTCATGGAGAAGAGGGCCATTTCTAGGTATCTAACCCACGGTAGCATTGCAACTTCATCTGACTCTATTGCCACAGACATACCAAGTTCTACTGAATATTTTAGGAACATCAGAATCATCACTGCAGACTGGATCCAGATCGACTGCCAAAGCAATTTTGTCCTTACTAATTTAATGCGGCTCAAGGACCAAAAGCAAGCGCATGAAAGTTCATGAAAGTATCCAAAGTTAGCTACAGTTCAGGATCCCATCGGTTCCTTCAGGCCCACTGAGGGTACTTACCGTGGCATGGTAGTTTCTGTACATGGGCATCTTTAGTATTTTTGTCAAGTAATCTTCCAGTTGCTTCTACAATAAAGAATATTTTGGATACAGTTGAACATAATCATGTCTGTACAGAATTTAAACAACCACAGTGATGGGATCAGGTCTCACCGAACATCTGTCAGTCACTACACCCTGTCTTTAGGCAGGAAGGTAGAACGCTTACCATTTTCTTGGGGTGTTATTTAAGCCTCTTCTTGCTATAAATACTTAACTTTCAATATGCTTAGGTCTTTGCCTGTGCTGTTTTGTCAGTGCTGTGACGAAACACCCAGAAAGAAAGGGTTGACTCTGTCCTTTAAGAGGACACTGTCCACTGCGGCGCAGAAGGGATCGGGGCAAGGATGGGAGACTGGGTGGTCACTCGGGCAGAGCCAGAGTGGGGAACTCAGGGGTTCCTTTCTAGTCAGTCCAGTGCCCTAGCCTAGGGCACTCAATGGTAAAAGATGGTGGACACTCATGGTTATGCCCTAGTCCGTGGGCACTCATTGCTAAATCCTAGCCTGCGGGCACTCACGATTAAGGTAGTTCTTCCCCTCAGGAAGCCTAATCTAGAGAACCCTCCCGGCCTCCTCTCAGTGTTAACCTTAAAGCGAACAAGCCTTGAGTTGTGTGGTTTGGGTTTTGGTTTTTGAATTGGTTTGTTTTTTTTTTGGTTTTTCAAGACAGGGTTTCTTTTCTCTGTGTAACAGTCCTGGCTCTCCTGGAACTCACTTTGTAGACCAGGCTAGCCTTGAACTCACGGAGATCCTCCTGCCTCTATCCCCCGGGTGCTGGGTTAGAGGACGGCACTGCTGGGCTCAAGCTGCCTGGTTTTACTCCTCCATACTTAGGAGAATAGGACTGCCCTGCCCATAAGAGGTGAGTTTTTTAAAATTCGTTTTAAACAGCGTTTCATGGAGACGAGTCGGTGTTCTCTGTTCCTTGAAGCACACACATTTCAGATGCTAAGACTGAGCTGATAAAAACGACAGAATTACTAATACGCTAATACAAACTATCTCCGGCCTTGGTAGCAGCAGTCACGGAGCAGGGTGGGCAGACCTGTGCCCTTGAGCTGTGCCTTCTGTGCTCCCTCTCTCTGTTTTCCGACCATAACCACCAATCTAAGGAGGAAATGATGTCACATATCTTTAGAACGAGCTATTGGAAATCAAATAAATGGGTGGAAACATCTGCTTTTTAAGAGTGGATCTCAAAACCTACTAGAATGTGCTGAGTGTTCGTCTCTCCTCAAACCTGGGGAAGTTCCACTGGGAAGATCACTGTCCCATCATCCAAATAAGCACTCTGTCTCCTCCCTGGTTTGGGAGACCAGGTGATGGCTAAGGTCCAGAGAAAAGTAGCCAGCCATCAATGGGGTGGGGGCAGCTACACCCCTCTCTTTAGGTGCTAGACCCTTTCAGCGCTGAGAAGGGATTTTCAAGACCAGAACCAGAGAGAGGGCTCAGCTGGCAAAAGGGTTTCCCACACAAGCCTGAAGACCTGGGGTTCATCTTGGGAAGCCATGAAAAGATGGAAGGAGAAAAGTGACTCCACAGTTGTCTTTGAATCACTGCACACACACACACACACACACACACACACACACACACACACATACACACACAAATAGCAATAAGTACAACAGAGAAAGACTCACCCTCCTGCCGAAGAACTGCTCTTCCTGGATTGCGTTTTCTGATGAACGGGGCAGACTGGGCATCTCTCGGGGCTCTTCTTTGACATTCTGTCTTCTGAAAGTATGTCTAGAGGACAGACACACACGATGCCAACAGCAATTCGACTATTCTTTGACTGCCTCATATTATCTTTTATGTCATAACTTATTATTTTCATTCCTGTCAATGTTTAAAAACAGTCTCATGGCCTCCAACTCACTATATAGCCAAGTGAACTAGCCTTGAGCTCCTGGTCCTCTTGTCCCCTCCTCCCAAGCACCAGGGACCACCGGCTTGCACCCATGCATGCTGCTGAGGTGGCTTACTTTTAAAATAGCTCTGCTATTGAAAATGTCTACCCCTAATGGAAAAGAATAAAACACACTTCCATCCCTGCACAGGGGGTTAACTATGTTATTTCTGCCAGACTTACCTTTTGGTGGGAATGGGGATGCGGATGAAGGCTTTGTACTTGAGAAGCTCCCTATGGAACTCTTGGAAGTGCTTGAATTTCCTCTTCACTTGCCATGTGAACTCCCCATGTGTTAATTCAATAGTGTACAGATTGATACTTGGCACCTGCAGTGATAGATGTTTAAAAAAAATGGTTGTTATCTTAGATGGGGAAAGTTCTGAAATTGCTCAGCAAGCAACAGCTAATTGCTAAGTGATGTTAAAGAGCACACGAGACTATCTCTTAGGGAAGGAAGAGCAGCGGTAGGGAGGAAAAGAGGCCAGAGCACAGGCTGGACACCAGAGTGGTGTCAACTACAGTCCGCATAGATCAGACAGATCAGGCCTCTAAACCAGCATTAAAAGTGGTTGCCCACCTGCCCTCAAAAGACTGGGAGGATGCAGAGGAATAGGAAAGTTTGAGGGTTGGGGAAGTCAACGGCCCCTGACCGAAGGTTAGGATTCTGTGTGTACTGTGAGGCAGAAGCCCGTGATGTCCTACCCAATCTTGACTAGTACTTCACCTGGGGGACAAAGGTCCCCTACTACTATGAGATCCAAGCAGCACTCGTCAGGCAGTTGTCCAGACCTCTCCTCCTCCAGTCTGTTCCGCTTGGCTCCGCAAAGATAACTTACTTTATCTAAAGCCTTTTAGTGCTCAGAGAAACCAGAAAGGATGGAGTCTCAGAGTCTGAGGGTGGAGCTCTGAATACGGCAGGTCACATGTAGGGAACTGAGAAGAGAGCCCAGCAGACTGAAGAGCGGAATCCCAAAAACAAATCAGAGACAAAATTTGCAGCAGAATTCTCTCAGCAGCGCGTCTGAATATAGCACCTACAATTCAATGTCCAGACTTTTTTGTTTGTTTGTTTTCAGAGATGAATAGCACTCGTATTTTCTTGCTAAAGAAGACTTAGGAAAAGTAAAGCTTCTCTTGACGTATACTAGTCCTTCAGTTAAAATGGATATTGAAGGCAATAAAGAAATAAAAAGGAAGGACATGATCGCACCTAGGTATGGTGGAGGAGTTCTATTGTAGGTAAAAGGGAGAAAATGGGCAGATGTGGGGCACCCAGAGAACAGAGTGGATGTGACCCTGAGCCAGGTCACGTAAGGAGAGGTGGAGTGGACAGCCAGGAGAGTAAATGGCAGACAAAAAGGGTTGGCTAGCCAAAACCGCTGGATTCTATAGGGAAGGGCAGCTGGGAAAAGGGTAGCCCAGCCCTGGGCTGGAGAAGTTATGGGTAGGGCTCGGGGTGTGCCAACCATACCCTGTAACAGGTAGGAACTGGGGGATGCTGGGAGAACCTGGTGGCCAGGTCTGCTTTGATACATTAACAGGCACCTCAGTTAGTCATTTGTCCCAAAAGCCCCACTGAAAAGGAATACTGGAGACAAAGAGACATCTTGTCAGTTAGTTATCAAATTAAAAAAATTGCCTTGAATGATATTATTTTTGTTTGTTTCTTTTCATGCAGTTACTTATTTCTGTAAGTGTCTGTGTGCCTGTGGATGTGTCACAGAACTCAAGTGGAGGTCAAAGGACAAGTTCCAGGAGGCAGGAACTCCCTCCCCTGGCTTCAAGCGCTCAGGCTTGGCAGCAAGCGCCTTTCCCTACTAAAGCACCTCGCCTGCCCTTGAATGTTAACCAAGCTAAACCCACTGTAGTAGCAGAGGGTCTCCCACCTATAATCTCAACCCTGGGGAGGCGGAGGTAGGAGGAGCAAGAGATGCCCGCCAAGCTCCATGAGAGCCCCGTCTCCAACAACAAGGAGCACTGTTCACAAAGGGGAAAAGGCAGTGTGATAAGAACAGAGTGCGTGAGAAGGAAGTGCAGTCCTCAGCCATGAAGAGGACTTACAGGCTGAAGATGAATTGCATTTGTTTATGCCCTGGAACATTTGTTTAATGATGCAAATACGTTGCATTATTTTCTTTATTGATTTTTATTGAGCTACACATTGTTCTCTGCTCCCCTCCCTGCCTCTCCCCTCCCCTTCAACCCTCTCCCATGACCCCCATGCTCCCAATTTACCCAGGAGATTTTGTCTTTTTCTACTTCCCATGTAGATCATATCTATGTAAGTCTCTCTTAGGGTCCTTTTTGTTGTCTAGGCTCTCTGGGATTGTGATTTGTGGGCTGGTTTTCTTTGCTTTATGTCTAAAAAAAGCCACTTATGCATGAGTATATATGATATTTGTCTTTCTGGGTCTGGATTACTTCACTCACCATTCATTTGCTAGCAAATATCAAGATGTCATCATTTTTTCTGCTGTATAGTACTCCATTGTGTAAATGTACCACATTTTCCTTATCCATTCTTTGGTTGAGGGGCATTTATATTGTTTCCAGGTTCTAGTTATGACAAAAATGCTGCTATGAACATAGTTGAGCATATGTCCTTGTGGCACGATTGAGCATCCTTTGGATATATACCCAAAAGTGGTATTACTGGGTCTTGAGGAAGCTTGTTTCCTAATTTTCTAAGAAACTGCCACACTGATATCCAAAGTGGATATACCAGTTTGCACTTCCACCAGCAATGCAGGAGTGTTCCCTTTACTCCACAATCTCTCCAGCATTAGTTGTCATCAGTGTTTTTAATCTTAGTCATTCTTACAGGTGTAAGATGGAATCTCAGAGTTGTTTTGATTTGCATTTCTCTGATGACTAAGGATGTTGAGCATTTTCTTAAGTGTCTTTCAGCCATTTTGGATTCCTCTATTGAGAGTTCTCTGTTTAGGTCTGTACTCCATTTTTTTAAATTAAGTTACTTGTTCTTTTGATGATCAATTTCTTGAGTTCTTTGTATATTTTGGAGATCAGCCCTCTGTCTGATGTGGGGTTGGTAAAGATCTTTTCCCTTTCTGTAGACTGCGGTTTTGTCTTGTTGACCATGTCCATTGCTTTCCAGAAGCTTTTCAGTTTCAGGAGACCCCATTTATTAATTGTTTCTCTCAGTGTCTGTGCTGCTGGGGTTATATTTAGGAAGTGATCTCCTGTGCCAATGTGTTCAAGTATACTTCCCACTTTCTCTTCTATGAGGTTCAGTGTGGCTGGCTTTATGTTGAGGTCTTTGATCCATTTGGACTTCAGTTTTGTGCATGGTGACAGATATGGGTCTATTTTCATTCTTCTACATGTTAATATCCAGTTATGCCAGCATCATTTGTTAAATAAGCTTTCTTTTTTTCATTTGATATTTTTTGCTTCTTTGTCAAAAATCAGGTGTTCGTAGGTGTGTGGATTAATAACTAGGTCATTGATTCAGTTCCATTGGTCCTTCTGTCTGTTCTTATGCCAAAACCAGGCTGTTTTCAGTACTGTAGCTCTGTAGCAGAGTTTGAAGTCAGGGATCGTGATGACTCCAGAAGTTCTTTGAATTTACAGGATTGTTTTGGCTATTTTGGTTTTTGTTGTTGTTGTTTTTGCTTTTCCATATAAAGTTGAGTACTGTTCTTTCGAGGTCTGTGAAGAATTTTTCTGGGATTCTAATGGACATTGCATTGAATCTGTAGATTGCTTTTGGTAAGATTGCCATTTTTATTATGTTAATTCTACCTACCCAAGAGCATGGGAGATCTTTCCATTTTCCGGTGTCTTCAATTTTTTTCTTCAAAGATTTTAAGTTCTTGTCATACAAGTCTTCCACTTGTTTGGTTAGAGTTCCTCTGAGATGTTTTATGCTATTTGTGTTACATTCTTTTATATTGCATTTGTTTACCTCCGTGAAGCTGTGATTCATTGCCTGTCTAAAACATGTGATTGGTCTAATAAAGAGCTAAATGCCCAATAGCTAGGTAGGAGAGGGAAGTAGCCAGTGCTGCCAGGCAGAAAGAACAAATAGAAAGAGAAGAAAAGGAACAAGAAAAGGAGAGGAGGACAGTAAGGGGCCAGACACCCAGTTACACAGTAAGTCACAGAGTAAGAAGTAAAGAAAGATACAGAGGATAGAGAAAGAGAAAAGTGCAGAAGCAAAAGTTAGACGGCATAGTTTAAGTTAAGAAAGGCTAGAAAGAAGCCTGGCTGCGGCCGGTGCTCATAAGTAAGAAGGAGTCTAGGAGTGGTTGTTTGGGAGCTGCGTGTTGGCCCCAAAGAGCAGAGTTTTAAAAAACCAAGGACACAGAAATTGCAACTAAAGCTCAACCAGCAACATCACAGTGCCGGGGGAGGGGATCCAGAGTCGGGCCGTGTATGGACACGCGCTTGACAAAAACCCAAACTGGTGAACCCAAAGTGCCCTGACCCTGCTGGTAGACGTGAAGCGCTCCACTTCCAGGACTTGGGCTTTTACGGGACAGCCGGAGAGGTAGGTCTGGATGTTGGGCTCCTTAAATCCTTGTGTGTTGTAAATCGAAGAGAATGGGATGTACTCTGCAAAGCACAGAGGGAACAGGTTATTCCAGTCACAGGCAGAAACACCCTGCACCTTTGTAAGACCTAAGCTGGGGCTGATCAAGTGTCCCAGAGCTGCTGGGGGACGTGGGGTCTGGTCATGTAGGCTGTGGGATTTGGTCACCAGAGTGACAAATGTCTTACAGAGACAAAGCCATTATCAGACAGAATAAAAAAGAAAAAAAAAAGAATCATAGTTAAAATAAGTAAGTTTCTGGAAGCCCTCTCTCCAAGGAAGGTGACTGCTCGGTTATTTACCACTGTGCCCTGCAACCAACCCTGAGGATGTCTTGGCCGGTCCTTTCGTCATCTGTCCTTACCTTCCTGAGTCTTGGGGTCTCCAGGAGAGGCATCAAAATCCACCTCCTCTCCCTCAAAGTGGAGTTCCCGCGTGTCAAGGTTTTCTATCAGATTGCTCATGTCTGCGGCAATTTTCTGCAGCGCTGAAGTGTTTACCCTCGGCTCGTTTTTCAGTGACATGTTGACTTCTGACAGGCAAGCAGAGGGGCTGAGGAGGAAGGACAGGCGTCACTCAGACACGTTTGCTTTGTCAGAACTGAAGATATGCCTCCTTGTTGAATAAATATGTTCAAACTAAAAATACAAAATAGCCTGGCATGGTGGCCTACACCTGTAATCCCAGCTCTCTAGAGACAGGAACATCTGTGTAAGTTCAAGGTCAGTCCGGGCTACACAGTGAGATCCAGGCCAGCAAAGGTCACATAGTAAGACCAAAATGAAAGAGAGAGAGAGAGAGAGAGAGAGAGAGAGAGAGAGAGAGAGAGAGAAGGGAGGGAGAAAGGAAGGGAGGGAGAGAGGGGGGAAGGAAGAGGAGAAAAGTGCATGTAAAGTATATAACATGGAAAATAAGCAGCATTTTCTTAAAGAAAATCGTGGAAATTTTCCACATCCAAATATTCAGATTTGGAAATTAATTATATTTATAGCTTGATGAGATGGCTGAGTGGGTAAAGGAACTTGTTGGAAAGACAAATGTTGACACGCAGAAGTTCTCTGACACACACATGTCATACACACAATAATGAAAGTAAAATTCGTATGACAGTGTAACCATCCTACATTTTCTCAAGAGCTGACTTCCCAAGTGACAACAACTCGGAGCCCTGAGGCTACGGCCACGGCAATGAAAGGAAACGGACTAATACACCCGTTCCTAAAGCTACCAGAGGGGTTGGGATTCTATTTCTCTCCCCCTTTCATGAAAGCTGGCTCTATTTCATCCTGACATTTCATAACATGAGTCATTGCACATCAGTACCCAGGGGAAAGACTTCATATAGATTTTATTTTCCATTTAAAATATGGAGGAGTAAGCTCTGTGCACTGCTGTCAGAATTGGATTAAAAAGTCTATATCGCCCAATATAGAAACCACCTCTGACAGAATTGGGCGTAAACTGAGAGGAGACTCACATGGCTAACTCTTCTACACATGCTCGCTGTCTATGGCAGCTCACAAGCGTTAACTTAGCATTGCGTTCACCGTGGATGAGAAGCAACGAATGTAACTTTAAATACGGGGTCTGTGCGACAGTTCAGTCAATAAAATCACTTGCCATGTACAAATCTGAGTTCAACTCTGGACCCCACAGTGGAAAGAACCAGCTCCTGGCAGTCATGCTCCGGCATGTGTGCAGTGGCACACATACACACACTCACATGCACTCATGCACAAGCATGCACACATTTCACACGAACACACATGCACACACTGATAGATCAAATACGAAGGTCAGAAAATGTGAAGATGAGTTAAGGAGCTCTGAAGCTGGACTTAGGTTTGTTTCTAACGAGCTCTTATAGCTTAAACGAACCCATGTATTTATTAAATTATGTTCTACCATGTGACTTTTACCTCTATCCCATTTTGTGTGTCCGACTCGTTCCTCATCTGGCTAGCTTCTCTGCCCTTGTTTCCCGCATTCTCTCTGCCTGGAAAGTCCTGCCTAGCTATTGGCCCCTTAGCTTTCTAGTAAACCAATCACAGTGACATATCACACAATATAAAGGAATATTCTACAGCAGACACCTGCTGTGTGGGTTGGGGAAACAGCTACTTAATTCCATGTTTCATCCCAGGCCTCCTCGAAGGCCTTGAACTTCCTGAGAGTAGACTTGTCCCGCGGGGAAGACACCTGGCCGGCTTCTGGCTCTGAGGAGAGGTTGGGTGTGCCACATGGAGCCAACTTGAGCAGCCATTAAGATAACAAGTCTCCAAAACCATGCCTAAGTCGCCACCACTGCGTCTGGTAGAGACTTCGTTTAGAAATGCAAAGATGGGGAGAGGAGGGAAATTCTGGGTTGCCTTGTGCATGTGATTATACTTTGGGGTTCCCTGTGAACTGAGGAAATCACCCACTCTTCACTCTTACACTCCCTTGACTGTAAGAAGGTTAAATTTAAGTTTATACCTTACTGTAGTCAAATCATTGGGCTATCATTACCTCTATCCCTTCCTTGCAATTCTCTCATTTTCAAATTATTTTTCTAACTTTTGGAGATGAATAAACTGCCTTGAAAGGGCTGATAGTCACACATACCTTGGGACAAGTCTCTATACACGCTAACTGGCATGGCCGAACAGGAAATGAAATTTTCCTACATTCCAGTGTTCACAGGACAAAGCCATTTCAGTCCTGGGGTCTTGGCTTACGAATTTCACTCCTAGGGTCACTTTAACTATATATAGAAGATGCCCTAAAGTTGATTAGCCTCCATGATAATTTAACCATCTTCCTATCTCCAGCAATTACGCCAAGTAGTTTTGTATTTAAATAAGAGAGTGGGTGGCAGAGAGCCTTCCAGCCAAAACTGTCTGCTGTTTGTTCAGTTCCTGCTGGGGAGGTGTTGCCTTGGGTCACAATTAAAATATTTGCTTCCTTTTCCCCTAATTCAACAAAGAGTCACTTATTAGACATGAACCATGAAGCTTTGCATTATTTAAAAGACAAGGTAATGGGAAGAGGAACTGAGATAAGGAAAACCAAATCAGAAATTATATCATATTATTGTCATTCGTTAACTTTTAAAGATTTTAGAGATTTTTATTGATTAAATAGACTTATGGTTAACTTTCTCAACTTCCTCAGCATAGCAAAGGGAGGTTACTCCAAATGACCTTCCTTTTGGGCCAAGTTCTAGACTTTAAAAATGTGATTAATACACAGAGATTACTCTACATGTTGGGGTGAGTAGGGGAAAGGCTTTGGCTCGTGCTGAAATAAATATCTTTTTTCTGGCCGAGAGAAAAGAAGCATGCGAGTGTGTGAAAACTGAAAGAATGAGAAAAGAAGCAGAAAGAGTAAAAGAAAAACCCACAATATTTAGTATAAAGTATTTATTGTATGATAAGCACAATTTTGTTATTTAATACTTGAGAGTCAAGATTGCCCTATGAAATTTAGATATTTGTCCAGAGGTACTCAACTTGTGTCAGAGTCACCTCTTACATTTTTAAGATGTCTTTTTAAATATGTGAATGTGTGTGTGTGTGTGTGTGTGTGTCTGTGTCTGTGTGTGGGATTATGTGCATGGGAGTGCCTGTGGAGTCCAGAACAAGTCATCAATGACCCTGGAGCTTGAACAACAGGTGTTTTAAAGCTCCCTACATGGCTGCTGGGAACTTAACTCGGGTCTTCTGCAAGAGTAAACATGCTCTGTCTTGGTCAGACACCATGACCAAGGCAAATCTTACAAAAGAAAACATTTAATTGAGACTTGATTACAGTTTCAGAGATTCAGTTCATTACCGTCATGACAGGGAGCATGGGGGCACACAGGCAGACATGGTGCTGGAGGAGTACCTGAGAGTTCTTCATGTCCAGACCCACAGACAGCAGGAGAAGAGAGACACTGAGCCTAGCATGGGCTTTTGACCCCTCAAAGCCCACCCTCAGTGACACAGTTCTTTCTACAAGAACACGCCTCCCAATCCTTCTCAATCAGTGCCACTCCCTTATTCAAATATATTAGCCTATAGGGGCCAATTTTATTCAAACTACCACCTGCTCCTAACTAACCATCAATAAAGGATCTCTTCAAAGGAGGAGTGACTTTTTAAAGTGGAATTGACTGGTTCTAATATGCTGTAACCTTGGTTCACACTCATTGGTTTTATTTCATGGCTTGAATGACTAGAAATTTAATCTTTTCTATGATGCCTGTGTTCTATGACAATAAGAGACGTCCTCTAGTTTCAACACCACACCTTGGGGAGGATCATCCAAACCCACAATCACTATAGAGATGGAAACGAGTCAGGAAAGCTTCCAGAATTTCCATGAATCATAACAAAGGATCATAAGAAATTTTAGGGGCCCCAAAGGGTTCGCATATTTACACATCAGATTGCGGATCTTAGCACAAATGGCGGGAAAGAGAAGGCATGATTTGAGCATTGCTGCTTGCTGGACTCCACAGAGTTGCGTGAGTTCGCATCCCACAATTCTATTGCTGGTGTTCACAATCAGATGGTGAGGTCATGCTTGTTCCTCTGCTGAGACTTCACGTGTCAGGCCGTGTTACTTCAATTAGAGCCCTCTATCTTGGAATAGAGCAGCTGCCATAGTTAAAGTCTGAGTTACCCAGCAGTGCGATAAGCCCTTTAGTGCTTCCATCTGAGATAAGAATCCATTCCCTTATCTCTTTATAAGTCTACCCTGTGGGTCTCTGCCTCACCCTGTACAAAGAGGAGCTGCTGTAAGCAGAGGGATGCGAGCAGCTGGGCTACAATTCTGTTTGCAGGTGTTCCTTATCTAGGAGGTAAATAAAGTGGGTTTCTCTTTCTTTTTTTCTGGCTTTGAATACTAGAATCAAAACTCTTTGCAGCAACCATTTAATAATGTCATCATTCAATGAAGGGAGCAGAGAAATAGGGTTTTCTCTTCAAAATTTAAAAAAAAATGTATTGTTATTGTTTTGCATAGGGTTTATCTGAATGTAGGAGCCCTTGCTGTCCTGGAACTCACTCTGTAGACCAGGCTGGCCTCAAACTCAACAGTGATCTGCCTGCCTCTGCCTCCCAAGTACTGGGATTAAAAGTGTGTGCCTCTACCACTGGCTGGGAAAGAGAACAGGTATTTTCCTTCTCACATGATAAACACATAAACATTCTCTTAGCTAAAGTAACAACAATACTGCCAGCCATAGTTATTGATGGTAAGATAGACATTACATTAGTTAACATTTGCTGAATATGTCACATGCCAGGCATTGTACAATTCCATAGCCATCTTGAGAGCCAGGTCCTGCTGGCAGCCATATTCTGAAGAGCATCTTAGGAAAGAGAGGACATGGTCCCATGTCCAGGAAGTGAGGGAGCCAACCCTCTAACTCCAAAGTTCAGTTAACTAGTCTGTCATCTGCCACTAGAGGTTGGGGAGGGAAGGTCGCTCACTCTCACTCGGAATATGATTAAGGCACAGCAAATACATTATATGAAAAAAATTAATAGAAAAAGGCAAATCTAATTTTAAAAAGGAACAATAAC